CGACGATAAGTACAATTGACCGAACGGAATGCAAGCCGATCGGGACCATTGACAACGTTCACGTGCCGGTTCGATAATAATCTCGGCGTCGCACGCGAGTCTCCATGGACGGCGGGCGGCCACCACGTTATTCAGTGTCAAAGGCAAACGGCATCGTTTCCCGGCGCCCGCGGCTCTCACGCTCGGCTTCTTCCGCGTGGCAGGCCGCGGCCTTGCCAGGCGCCTTTCACTCTTTTTTTTTTTCGTGCAATATTTACGCTAAGTCCCGTTAAGCTCCATTCATACCGCCGTGCGACAGCGGCGGGCTGTCGCCGGCGTGGCGAGTATAAATACGGATCACTCGCACGTAGGTATCGCACTCGGCAGCTCTTAACCTATGGATTATGACCCACGACCGTGGGTCGACACGATCTTTTAATAGAGTGGAATTTCCTCCTACACATCGTCGTGATTCAGCGCACCGGCCAGTTGACGTAATGAAAAATGCTGACCTGGCCGACTCGCCTCGAAAGTCCTAATCCACCGCACTTCCGCGTCTGATCTAGCGCAAATCGAAAAAGGATCGGTAAATCGCGAAATCGTCTGAAGAGAGAGAGAGAGAGAGAGAGAGAGAGAGAGAGAGAGAGAGAGAGACAGAGAGATGAGCCGGTAGGAATAAACGACGATATTGAAAATCTGATCGCGCAAACGATTGGAAAGGCTTTAGGGCCTGAGAAAATCTTCGGATGCGACTTTCATGAATTCGGGGATGTGCTGAATTTCTGATTTGGGATTAGACGTAATTTATGAACTTTTTTCGAGTAAATATAAAAATTTCTATCTCCGCGCGCTTCGCCGAGCAGTTTAATCGACCAGAATGCGCTGATTGAGCCGAATCGTCGTCACGGAGAACTCATGTCTGAACTTTGTGTGCGGCAGAAAAAGGCTAAGAACCGCCGGAGCAGTAGACAAAGGAGTACCTCGGGGCTGTGTAACTGAAATCACGTCATTGACCGGAGAGAGGAGTACTGCTGTTTCTGCTGCATACGTACTCTGCACGCACGCGTATGGGTGCACGCCTCCCATGCGTGTGCGTGAGAGTCGTCTTCATGGCGTAGACGTCGCGCCGGACTGCACAGTTCCCTCGCATAAACGGAGGCGAATTAATGAGAAAGAACCAGCATGTGTGTGGATGAAAGACGTGGCGCGCGCGTCATACCGCGTTTAAGCTAACTCTGCTCCGAAATATCCCGTGTTGTGAAAACAATACGTATAATTTTTTAATATTGCAAAAAAAAAAATTAATTTCGTTTTGAAATGGCTGTCAATTCACCGCCCACGAGCATCTATGTAAAAAATGTTCAAAGTATCGTAGTAATGATTGTCGCCGTGATTCACAGAGATCGATCCATCATCGCTCCGGCGACTGTTTAGCCATTAACTCGCGCTTTACTATTAAGTTACGAGTGAATGAGAACAATGAGCCCCTTCTTATTTTACGCAGGATGTTAAATTTAAATAGCCTTTTGCCCCGTCATGGCGTTTACAGCTAAATTTACGCGGCGGTATTGGATTATCGCGTTAATTAATGACGCCGTAAAAAATGCAACAATGCAACGGCACTACATTCGCTCCAGCGATTTCCGTCCACTACGTTTTATTATTTGAAATTTAAGTGTCCGAGCGTTATTCGACAATCACTTAAACCGCGTGTATTGATTTCCGTATAATCGTCCGCGTCATTAGCCTCTCGCGTATAAAATCGGCGCGGCAATTAAAATTCGAAATAGCAATTAGAAGATCTTGACATCGCCATTCTTACCGTTTCAAAAGTTTATCAATTTATCAGACAACGTGACGAAACTTCGGAAAACGCCATGAATTTCGGATAAACGTAGAAAAAAATACGGGCTAATGAGAGTTAGGCGCCGTTCGCGAAACTTTCCGTTCGCGCAATTTAATTACGGCCACGTGGAAAAAGTTAATGAAGTAAATAACCGCTGGTTTCATACATTATTCAACCAAGTTAGAAACATCTCGCACGCCCGATTTACGAACTTTTCTGCCCTCCTCCCCCCCCCCCCTCCTTCCCCCCTCAACCCAACCATCCTGTTCCCGTGCAGAAAAGTTCCCACGACTGCATACATCGCTTGAGCCGGACGATCGGTTTACCACTTGGGCGAAATGCAGCTCGCCCGTGCGCGCTGACCACCCACGCAAATCGCTCTGAAATTTCGAGCCGTTCGCAACAAGAAAAGAACAGAAGCTCCACTCGAAATTCTTAAACTTTCAGTTGTCCGAGAGCCGTTCTATTTACGAAACTGTGGAAGATAAAACCAAACTCGAGTCTTATAATCTTTCATTTTTCTTTATCTTAAGTCTCCTCGAACTTTTTCGATAAGAAGAACACTTTGCTTTTTTTAAATCATCCGCATTGGAATTTTTTTTTCCCGTCTATCGCTGCAATTGTAAGTACTATATAGTTCTTTTCAAACTCTGGCCAAATAAAAGATAAAAAGTGAACGTAAAAATAAATAATCAAAAGCAAATTTATCCGCTTTGATGCAAAAAAAAATTATTCGCAGTCATTGCTGATCTCATGTCGATATGGAAGGATTAAACGACGTTGAAATGAACAAGTTTTGCTGAGTGTGTAGATCCAGCGATCAGACCGAATCGTGAATCTGATGCGGAAAAAATCGGGCGACGTGACGTATGACAGAAGTGTCATTGTGAAACATAATCGATCTCCTATGGCTCTCTAAAAAACTGTGCAAGCGACAGTTCTAACAATGGAGTAGATGCAAAATTTTGAAAATGTAAAAAAACTTGAGTTTTAAAGTTTGAAAAATGATTAAAATAATAAAAATATCGAATAACGTGCATAATGACAATAAAGACCTAAATAATAATAGAAGTCTAACAATGTCCGGTTTCTGTTTGAAATTCTTGTACATCGATCACACTGATACAAATTATGAAAAAATTCGATCACCATCTGACGTTATCGACAATTTTAATGGTAACACGATTTACGAGTATTCGCTTGAATCTCAGAAACGATCGACATCAATGTACTACAGTTTGTTAGGTTTTGTTATGCAATTCAACGACACTGATCCAATTCAATTTGTGCATTTTCACGAAATTCGCTTTCTCGTGACATTTATCGAAAATTTCTCTGTCGAAATAATATGCAATTTGGAAAGAAAGTGTCGAAAATCAAGAAAACATCAAGAACTCAACGCCAAACGCATTCAGCAAGATCTTTACGTCCTCCGGGACAAGGACTCAAGCGCAGGAAATTGTTTGCATTTTATGATGCACGGTTGCACAATCATCGCGACTACGACAAACATTCGCTGCATTGAAATTCCCCGTCAGGCTACACTCGGTGTTGGCATTACGGTGATGTAGCACACATGATACATTCGTTTAGCACATCTAGCGCGCGCGGTTTCTACGTGAAAGTCCAAGGACACACGAGGTCGCGGCGCATATCCATGACGTCACGTCGCCGAATCGCCAATACGCGGACAACCGATGCACGGTGAAAACACTAACCTGAGACAAGTTGGAGTCGTCGCGTATCTTGGCGTCCATCGACACATGAGTGGCGTGGATTTTTGCGACAACGAGTGCCGCGGCGAGCAGGAACGTCAGCATCGTCTCCTCCGGCGTCCTCCGATAGGCACACGAGAGATAATTTCACCAAATTTCACTCGCGTTCACCACGCGAACGATTCTCGGATGATCTACGGATCGATCACCGGTGAATCATCAACGGCAACGTCACCGTGTACGAAGCGAAAGTCAGTTAACGCGGCACTAACCGGCCTTTCGCGAAAACTATACTTCGGTATCGTGGACCGGAAGTTCTCCACGAACGGGGACACCGCAAAGGGGATAATTATCCGCGCGCGCGTCAATAACGCGAATGCCGATTGACAAGCGAGCGCGAGGATCGCGCGGCCGTCCCTTCTCTATCTTTATCTCCCTGATCCCGTCCTCTCTTTACGCACTCTTTCCGCTCGACGTGTCAACTATACGAAGGATAGCGCGATACTGCGCCCTCTCCATGCCTGGACCCCTCTTACCCCCCACCACCCGGTGTCGGTACGAGTCTTCGGCGTGCCCGCAGCCGAGTTTCCCCCTCCAGTGTCGCACCCCTCCCGCGTTGCGAATGCCGCGAGCACGTGACGTCACCCACCTTTTCCTACGCCGCGATCGCGCCACTCGTGGATCATGATACTTTAATTCGAATTGATATAACTGTTCCTGTTTTCACTATGATAAAATTCTAAACGGAAATTGAATATCAAATAGACTGTGCGATAATAGGCACATTTGTTACACGTGATGATACTACGAGTCCAAAGTTTTTACTTACATCCGCAGCTAGAATTTGAGATAAGGTTCTCGGCTTGTAATTTAAAGCGGAGTAAAGTTGAATCACACTTTTCACCGATACAAATAAGTAACAACTTATTCTCAAGCTAATTTTGTAATAGATGAACTGTATTTTAATCAAGTCTTGTCTCGAAATATAGGTATCAAGATATTTAATGTTCAAATTTATTAACTGCGAGAAATCATAACCTTCAAATACTGATAGGAGAATATTGTCGACTATTTTTCAACTTTAAGCTATTGCCGAGCGTATACTGAAAACTGTACTTGCAAATAATAAACAAAGGAAAAGAAGGAATCGAGTTATAAGAAATGCAAAGTTTGTGATTGCAATTCAAAAGATTTTATGTTAATTTGTGAACCGACGACGGTCAAACAAAAGATTTTTCGCAATCATCGACGAGAATGCCTTTCTTCGAGATACTAGCGACTAAAACGTGGCCATATTCCTCAGTCCGGACGAGTTAAGTAACTGAATTGAATTATCTTTTTCAGAGTGTAAGCTGAGCTGTAAGCTCTATAACTTACAATTTAAAGGGATACGGCTACAAGATAGAATGGTTAGCTGGATTGTACTCTATGTTCTCGGATAAAGTTCCCACTTTTTACACTTTCAAGAAAATTCTATGCATAATTCTGTAATCCTGTAATTCCGCAATTCTGCGATATAAATAAATTTGTGCTACGGTAAAAATGCAGATGCACGTTAAGATTGTTGTAAATTCAGAATTATATTCGCAAGACAACTTGCGCTCTCGTAACTGAAAACGGACTTATCGCGCGGTTATTAGTTAATAATTTAGCGCAGCTAACTATGGATGCTTCGCGCGCGTTATATATTGGCCTTGTGTTGCGGGAGGAGAGAGAAAGATAGTAGGAGATATGAAGCACGCGATCGAATTTGGAGCGATATAATTGCCAACTCCAACAGAAGTTCATGGGGTATTTACTAACTCGAGTGGACTTGGACCGATTCTCGAAACCACTTGAGGCAGCGTGGATTAAGGAAAGATCCTGATCACGAATATAAACGCGAAGGTCTCCGCCTGGAGAACTTCTGTATTGTCCCGTTCTCCGCTTGTATACACAAACCGACTCACGTTAAGTTCGTTTGAATCCGCCCCGGTAATTAGAGCAGTCTAGGTACGCCCTCTTTCACCCCACGACTAGTATACCAACTTAAGCTCATTGGAACACATGCATTTTCGTCGGTGGCAAACATGGCGTTGCTGTCATCGCGAAATATATTTTCGAGAGGCGGTGTCGCGCTTGGTGTCGGAGTTCAACAAATTTCATCGACGATGCAGAATTAATCGGTGGGAAATATGTTTTCCTGCTCGTAGTTCGGCAAATGTTTGACTAACGAATAACAATTTGTATGTACGAGAGAGAGGAATATTTAGTTATTAATACGCAAATGCACGCTTCGCGTTTTCTATCGAGACAACAATATACGTAACAAAAGTGTCGCGCGGAAAACAAATCGTATTATTACTTTCAGCGAAACGCGATATCCATTCTCTGTTACGACAAATTTACTCTAGTGATGAAAAAGTTTCTTCAGAAATGGAAAATTCCCAGCACAAATGATCCCCGAATGCAAATAGAAATTCTAACGTCACGATTTGTGGATCTCGTGATTGAAGAATCGTGCAATTTGAAGCGTCGAGCGTGCGAAAGCTCCTGCGAGATCTCGAATGCCCTAAGGACATCGACCCCTCAATTACAAATCCTCACTCACCCTCTCGGACTTCTCGCAGCCGGCTATCATCCAGAAAGCTCGCTGCTCGCCGCTTAAAGACGAAACAAACTCGGCCATGAAAAGAAAAGTTAAGTGCTCGTGACACTCCCCACGACGGCATCTCACGTCCACCATTTTTCTCCACCGACCACTACGAGCGGGCGTAATCCTCTACGAGCGGGCGTAATTTTTAATTACTTCCCAGCGAGCCGCTCGCACACGACATTTTCTTGCGCGTCGATTCTCCTCGTCTTTCTCCTTTTCTCCTTTCATCCTCTACCTGATAATGGAATTAGTTAACCGACAAACTGAGTTTATTTTCTAGGAATTATTTCACACTTTGCTACATTGGTCAATTTATGAATGTAAAAAAACAATTTGGCTGCTTAAAAAGAGTACTTTTTTTTTAATTCAAGACTTTAAATGAAGATTCCTTCAATCCAGAGTGCAAGCATAAAATCTATGAAGCAAAATTTTCTAATATTTAAAGCGACACGAATTTATGTATCAGAAATGTGCTTGAATAGCAGATTGCTATGCTGCGAGAGCTTATTTGATTATTCGCCGTAATAAAATCGTTCGTGCGCGCGTGAATAATTCGGCGTCAAATCGCGCGCTAATACCTATCCCCGTGTCATTTCCGCTTCCGATTTCGACCATGTGGCGCGACTATATACGCGGCTATATAGGAATCGCAAACGCGTCAAACGTTTTATCACCGTTGCAACGGACTGTTATTTTTTCAGAGTTGGGTCTTCCGCTTTTGTTTTTGCCAACTGGAGCGGCCCGTCCGATTAACTGTCATCCAGCGATTCCGAGTTCGTTAAACGAAAAAAAAAAAAAAAAACACAGTTGGATCTCATTCTCCTCTCTTTCAGTCTCTCTCTTGACGCGAGCAAATTTACGGAGGCGCGTAACCGCAACGCGTAAAACGAACGACAATGGCGCGCTAAATTGTGACGAATATTTTAACGCGATGCTTGCGAGTACCGCGAGTTTTACGTTTCTCGGAGAGCGTGATGGGTATTTTCTACTCGCCACAATCTTTTGCATAGATAATAACAATACAAATTATTAAGAACGATACTTCAGCTGCAGATTATTGCAGTGTATTTTTAAATGTGTGTAGTTTTTTTCCCGTGACTTCTACGATTAAATTTTCAAATCCTCGAATTCATGCATTTTTGACTACGTAAACCGTTCTACGGTAGATTGTCGGGTTTAAATTTTCTCTCCCTTTCTAATTTTCTTTAAATTTTCGAGATTTTTAGATTCCAGTTTCATAAAACTTTCTATTCGTCTTTCAATTCTAAAACCATCCACTCGATGATGTACAACGAGCCCCAACGTCACCAACATCTCGAGTAGCTAATCCGGCATCGCATGTGCGAGAAGCTGAGCGGCCCAAGTGGTGCAAAACTATCCCTGACGTGCACCTCGCACACCTTCCGACACATTAACGACCACATAACCGTTTCCAGCGCACCGGAAGTCAGGCCTGAGTCCACAAGACGCGAGTAGTCCAAGTTTGCCCGTTCGCCACTTCCGGCGACGAGAGCCGTCCCGCCACCGCGCGCGAAAGGGTGAAACGCGCGTTAACGGGGGAACGCGAACAGATGCGCGGCAAGAAGCGCGGGGGCGATGGCGCGCGCTGAGAAACATATTTGTAAACATACATCCTACCCACGAGCAGCCGTGTCGCAGTAAATCCCGGTACATTAATATTAATGCGTCTTCGGCATGTACCGGGCCGCGTTGCCTCCCGCCTTGCTTGCCCCTCGACGTCGGTCCTTCACGTCGCAGAAAGCGGGGGAGTTCGGCGGAGTTTACAACGCGAAGTGCATACAGAACCTAGGGCTCTTTACAATACCCAGGCGCCACCCACTCGCTCGTTTTCCCTCCGCGTGTCTGTCTCTCGTTCCTTTTCTTTTGCCCTCCTTCCTCCCCCCCCCCCCGTGCAGTTTCTCTCGGCTTGCGCGTACGCTGCACTATGGTATAAGTAGATACGTGCATTTTACGGAATTTCAGGATCTCCCTCTCCGATCTTTGATCCCGCACTCAGACTGCGCGTTGCATAACTGTAAAAATAAATCTTTTAACGGAGATTTATGTTTATAAAGTCTTCGAACGCTGGCATCTTCTTGTAATCTGAAGATTTCTTAAATACGAGAGAAAGTAACTTACAATTAGCTTCAATCTTCTAGAGCCACGATTTCATCAGTTATTATCGTAACATTAAACCACTAATTAGTTGCTAAGTCAAATAATGTATATCGGACTGTTATATAAATTGCTCACGATCGTAGCGCGAAACTGCAAAAGCCGATTGATTATCGCGAGGGACAGATCGCCGCCTTTTCCGCAGCTCCGCGGTCGGCTATAACGATCTCTCGTTAGCGCGGCTAATTACTTTGATAGTGCGCAGTGGACCGTGAAAGGTCGTTAGTCAGTACCGTGGGTTAGCACACGTAAAGAGATAAGATTCTCTCCTCTCTGTCTGTCTGTCTCTCTTTTGTTTTCTACAATGTCTGACATTGTCCCGCGGAACTTCGTCGCGAGTGACATTCTTGATTAGCGACCATTCTAGGACCTACGAATTCTCGCGCGGACTTGGATCCGGAGTGTCTAGAATTCTCGAATACTCGAATTCGATAATTTCCGAATTATCGAATCTTTGACTAGAATATATGTATCTCTTGGACTCTTGAAACTGTTGGGACACGGAATCTGTAAAGTTTTTTCAAGCGCCGGGAACTAAGTTACAAACATTTCTGAATTCTTGCGAGTCGAGTACATAACTCGCTTTTGCGGAGTATATTTAACCTTCTTGCAGTTACTGAAAGGAGCACCGAACGCAAGCTGGAATATCGGAGAAGGTTTTTGTGAGAAAAGGGAGGAGAGGCGGGA